AATAACCCTCTCCTCTCTCTCCGGTCAGCGGTATCCCCTTTCCCTCACCTCACTGCACCCTCTGAGCCTGCAAGGGTATTACTCCCACAACCCCCAGAATAATTTATTTTGGGTAGAAAGGGAATTGTGAGAAGAGGAGAAAGGTGGGTAGGTCCACAGCCATCGGCACTTTCCACTTACTAAAGGATCTCTGGATTCAACCCAACGTCCTGTTTTCATGTCCTTGGTCACAGGAAATTATTCTTGTGGTTTGTTTTCAATTCAGCATATAAATATAGATCTGTATATCTGCCTTCAGGGCAAGAGCTGTGCCTCAGAGGAAGAGCCTCTGCTTTGCATCCATAAAGTTCCAGGTTCAGTCCCCGGCATCTTCCATTAAAAGGACCAAGCAGTAGGTGATATGAAAGACCTCCTCCTGAGACCCTGGAGAGCTGCTGTCAGTTTGAGAAGACAATACTGACCTTAATAGACTAAAGGTCTGATTTGGAATAAGGCAGCTTCATGTGTGTTCATGTGTGCCTTGAGTCCCATGTGAGTAAGAGGCTGGTTGCAAGTGCTGTGAATGAAATAAATGCAAGTGGAATGCTGAGCTAGGAAATTGGAACTTTCACTGCCTAAATGAAGAGCTGAGAGGAGGGCAGGGAGCTGTTCCTACTGGCAGAAGAGGATAGAGCTCACAATAAATTAAGGGTGGGAAGGTACTGGCTCGATATTAGGAAACACTGTTTTACAGTAAGAGTTGTGCAACAGTGGAATCAGCTACCTAGGGAGGTGGTGAGTTGCCCCTCACTGGCAGTCTTTGTGCACCAAAATTCTGCAGACTGCCTGGCACTAGGAAGAAGAAAAAAAGAAGAGATTGGGTTTATACCCCACCCGTCACTCGGAGTCTCAGAGCGGCTTACGATGAGTAATTGTTCTTAGAGAAAGGAGAACAGAAAATAGCTAAAAGTGTGAATTAGAATTTGCTAATAAATAGGTCCTTGACATTTAAACATTATTAAACTTTAAAATGTAATTTCATTCCATACTTGGTATCTGCTGTTATGGCAACATTTTAATTTATTATTTAGAAGTATTTTTCCTGTTGGCTATGTGTATATTTTTCTTAAGCTTGTTTTTCTTTCAATCCAGTTGTGGACATCTTGAAGCCCATATTGAAATTGTTGCTGCTGCTTCTACCATAGTCCTCTTTCAACTTTATTTTAATATAACACTGCAAATGTAGTCTTTCCTATTTCATACAGGATAATGTAGATCTGATTTAGAATGAGCGGTCTGGTCTAGTTATACTGTGTTCATAATGTCGTTATAATGTGACCTCATATTGATCCAGGCATATGTTAATGTGATTTCACTTTCACGGGTAAAACACATAGTCAGTTTTGGCAACTTGATAACTGCTCCAGATTGAGATCTTGGAGGCATGGTTATATTCAGGGCTATTTTTGGGCAGGAACGCACAGGAACGGGGTTCCAACTGGCTTCAGAGTTGGCCACGCCCACTACAGCCAAAACCTCTGTGTGTGTGGCTACAGAGGGAAGGCCTTGAGAGCAGCCCCGCCCGGTGACTCCGAGGCCTCCCCATGCCTTCCCTGGCCTGTCCAAGGGCCAGCTTGCCCGGGCACCCCACAGCTGCGGGTCGCCTGGCCAAGACAAGGGAAGGCAGTTTAAACTGCCTTCCCTTCAAGGGGGGGGGCTGGGCTCCCCACAGCCGCGGGGCACTCAGGCAAGCCAAGGGAAGGAATGGTGTGTGGTCTAATATGCTAATGAGTTTCTGATGTTGGGTGTGGCCTATTATGCTAATGAGTTCCTGCTGGGCTTTTTCTACAAAAAAAGCCCTGGTTATATTAACACAGCCTTACAAAGGATAGTTCCTTCCAGGAACATTTTGTTGTTGTTGTTCAGTCACACAGTCGAGTCTGACTCTTCACGACACCATGGACTACATTATGCCAGGCCCTCCTGTCTTCCATCATGCTCCGGAGTTTGCTTAATTTCATGTTCGTTGCCTCGATAACACTGTCTAACCATCTCATCCTTTGCCGTCCCCTTCTTCTTTGACCTTCATTTGACCTTCCAGGAACATTTACCAGTCACATTAAATACATAGTGGTGGAAATTGCCATCAAATTGCAGCTGACTTATGGCAGCCCCATGGGGTTTTCAAGGCAAGAGATGAACAAAGGTGGTTTGTCATTGCCTGTCTCCCATCCAAGTACTAATGAAGGCTGATCCTGCTTAGCTTCTGAGATCAGATGAGATCAAGCTAGCCTGGGCCATCCAGGTAAGAGCCATTAAACACTTTGTTGTGTTAATGTAGCCTATCTAGAAGTATGTTAGTTTTTTTTTTAGTTTAACATTCTGCTGCCTACTCCCCTTGATTATAAACTCCATTTATAAATCATGGTGGATGCTCATGGCCATGAATCCCAGACCGATTAGTGCTAGCAACATTTGCCTCTAAGTAACACTTCCTTATCAAGGATGTCTCCAATTGGGTAACCCCCCCCCCTCAGTCTGGCATCTCTTCATATAGGTTGCACTGATGGAGAACTGTGTTATGCACACATACATTAAGTACTTGAAAGAATGTCTTGGACAAAGAGAATATTAGGATTTTAAAAGTATTAGGATTTTAAAAATTGTATTTCTTTACAGAGAAGGGGAATCTCCACTTCCTGCAGGGTCTGAAACCTTGATCCTCCCTGTCGTAGCAGAAAATAATGTACTACTTGGTAGATTTTAATAAGTGATTATTCTGGCATGTTTTAATAGCACTTACTCATTTTTTACATTTATTATTCTATATTAATATTCACTTTTAAAATACCACTAAACGGTAAAATTTATGGATTATCTGAGTGCTGACAGCAGTTAATACATCTCAAAATGGTATGTATTACACTTTATTGTAACATGACATTGGTTCTTTTGCTACCACATAGTACCATTCACAATATTGTCCCTTACAGAAAGCAGGTCTCTCATAACTGTAATTTGGTACAAATTATTTGCCCCTTTAAATACAGCATAATGTAATTTTTAAAAAAAATATCTGTTAGTTTTTACCATCCACAAAAAACTTACTACCAGCAGGTAAAATACAACTTGGGGACATAAACATATTTAAGGTGAATCCTGAAAAAGGCTTATAAATCAATAGGTTGTCTAAGGTTTTATGCTGACTCTTGAGTCTTTCATCAAGCTGGGCAAGGCTAAGTGTAGCTTTATGCTGGAAACAGGCGACATTTCTGATGCTGCTGTCTCATAAAGCTTAACACTGAATCCTTTTTAACATCAAGTATGAATTGTCAGTTCTGTGGTCTGGTTTACAGTGCTGCTGACTATTAGAAAACTATGTAACAAAAAGTAAAATATTCTTTCTGATATAACTCAGAGAAAAGGATATAACTTTTCTATATGTGCTGTTCTTAATCCATTGTGAAGCAATTATGATGTGCACTATTCAAACATTTAAGTGGACAGAATATTTGGTGAAGAGCTGCAATGACCCTTAGTGTACTGAACACAAAGGAAGCACCCAGGGAATTTTGCAGGGGAGGGGTAGCATCAGAAATTGAAAATACAGAAGAGGAAGTCTTTAAAATGTTTAGCAGATCATGATTTTAGATCTTCCAATGTATTATGAGACAAGCAGCTTTCATTCAGGGGACTGACTTTTACATGTAAAGAGATAGATCGTACCAGATTTCCACTTAAGCATCAGAGAGGATGCTCCCCTTTTGACACCTCCAAGATTGTGCAGAGGACCTTGGTACCCATGTGTACAAGAAGCTCTGGTGAATGGTTTCTGCAGTGGGAAAGATAGTTGGACCAGATCACCCCTCTTCCCTCTTACACTACCAGAAAAGCTGATAGGATCCGTCCCCTGATAATTTCATGTTAATGACCCAGAGTGTAATACAAATCTTTGAATTACTCTCTCGATATTCCTGTTTCCTTCCACATCAGCACAGGAAGTTTGAATCCCAGTCAGTTTGGGAGCTGAAATGTACAAGTACCATTAATATTACAAACTTCCTGATGGGAAATTATACAATTGGATGCTCATTTGTGAGTATGTGAACAGTATGTCTATACTTCTTGCAGTATCTGTAGCTACATCTCCTTTCTCTTTCTTTATATAAATCTGGCTAAAAATGAATGCATCAAAATCTCTTGGCTCTGTCTTTGTTCTGTTAGCCATGAGCACATCAGACTTCTTACTATATCACCTTTCAGTTTTTCCCAGTATGCACAGTCACAGTTTTAAAAAGAAAACACAGCAGTAGTAATACTGCAGGATCTCTCACTCAGAAAGTGGTTGTTGCTAGTACTGTGGAATATGGTGCTTCAGAGTGGCTCAACAGCTCCCATGTCCACAAACTTGATGTTCAACTCCATACAACAATGAGAACCATTAGTGGATGTATTCAACCCACTCCGACCTATTGGCTATCCACGTTGTGCCACATTGCACCCCTGCATCTCCAAAGACAAGATGCTCTTCTTTGTGACTATAGAAAGATTATTGAAAACAGAGCGTTGATGTGGCTGAAGTGGGCCTATCCAAACTAAGATCCCAACACCCAGTAATAAGATCTGCACAAATCTTGCAATCACAAAGTTTTGATCTAATGGTTGTGAACATTGATGCAATCAGTTCCACCCAATATCCATAACCTGATAAGCACCAATGAGAGGCCCGTTGCCTTGTAATTTGCCATGTAAAGTGTGGAAAATGGCTAATAGAATATGAACGGGCTTTGGCAGTTGTGCAGACCTGTTGTTTAAATGGGGCAAAATACCAGGATGTGAATGCAATTGTGGTGCAGCCCGTCAAACTATTTTCCATCTGTCACAGGAATGCGAGCATCGTGCTTTCCAGGGTGATGTGATGGAGCTCATTGAACTCTCCACAATTGTGATTGAGCGGAATGAAAATAGGGGGATTGCCCAATTGGTCTGCATACCCATTGTATCAACTTGGTTACATATTTTATATTATTATATGTTTCCTGTGTGTAACTCTGCCATACGATAAATAATAATAATGTTGCTAGTATGAATGATGTGTGATTCTGAAAGGTTCCTGAATGGAATAGAAGGAGAAAACTGGGTTCACGGTTAGGACAAATACATGCATTGAAAAGTATGCAAAATGTCTGGCTACATTATATGGATTTCTCATTGCTCTATATTGGTGTTTCCTCATCATCCATTGTTTCTATGTTCTGATCTCCCCTTGTTTTAATCACATACTTATGCAGTGTATTTCGAAGGGATTTTCTAAAGGATTTACAGAGGGCAAAGTATATAAATGGATCTAGACAGGCATTCAGTGAAGTCAGCCATAAAGTGCTCTCTTTTATGTAAAACAATGTGTTCTGAGTAGAACATTTGAAAACATCTCTTGTTTGGCTCAAGGTGTAAGGAATTCTGGCGAAATGGTAAGGCACAAAGCAAATGAAAAACACACCAATGATGATGAACACTTTGACATTCACAGTCTTCTTGTTTGCTTTTCCCATGCTTCTTGTTCTTTTGTAGGATTTGTACAGTTCTTGTGTTATGAGTGTATAACATATGATTATGATGGCAAAGTTAACCCAGAAGATAAACTGGCAAACATAGTTGACGATTTCATGCCATAGTAACCCAAAATCTGATTTCAGATCAGCACATTTTTTCACCATCTCCCGTGTTGGTTCCTTGTTTGTCAGAATCATGTTTGGAAGTGACAGAGAGAACATAAATACCCAAATAAGTATGGAGAGCACCTTGGCAGCCAATACATTGCCAGTGGTGGATGATCGGAAGGGTTTGGCTGTTTTCAAATAGCGATCAATAGTTATGAGGCCCAGGAAAATAATGCTGATGTACATGGTGAAATAAAATATGACCTGGGACACTTTGCAAACAAACCCTCTCAACTCCCAGGATACCAGTCGTGCATCACTGAGAATTTTGAATGGAAATGTCAGGATCATGAGGATATCAGAAATGACAGTGTTCTTAAGAAAGACAATAAAATTAGATTTGCTGGAAATCTGGAAAAACACTCCCATGGCCAATCCATTCATAATGATTCCCACGAAGAAAATAAAAGTGTACAGCAAGGGAAAGGGAACTTGATTGATCTTGTTATCACTGCTGCAGTTGCTGATGTTTCCAGGAGGGTCATATTCTGGTTTCATTTGGGCTGTGTTTTCTTCCCTCCTAAGACAAAAGGAAAATATCAGTAATGTAGGTTCCATCAAGTCACAACTGACTTATGGCTTACCCCAGCAAAGGGCTTTCAAGGCAAGTGAGAAGCAGAGGTGGTTTGCTGTTGCCATCCTCTGCAGAGTCTTCCTTGGTGGTCCCCCATCTACATACCGACCCTGCTTAGCTTTCAAGATATGATGAGATTGGGCTAGAATCATAGAATCACAGAGTTGGAACGGGCCATACAGGCCATCTGGTCCAACCCCCGTGCTCAATGCAGGGTCAGCCTAGAGCATCCCTGACAGGTGTTTGTCCAGCTGGTGCACAAAGACTGCCAGTGAGGGGCAACTCACCACCTCCCTAGGTAGCTGATTCCACTGTTGCACAACTCTTACTGTAAAACAGTGATTCCTGATATCCAGCCAGTACCTTCCCACCCTTAATTTATTGTGAGCTCTATCCTCTTCTGCCAGTAGGAACAGCTCCCTGCCCTCCTCTCAACTCTTCATTTACTTAAAGAGAGCAATCATGTCCCCTCTCAAGCTCCTCTTCTCCAGATTGAATAGTTCCTCAGCCTTTCTTCATTGCTTGGTCTCCAGGCCCTTTATCATCCTTGTGCACCCACTCCATTTCATCCACATCCTTTTTAAAGTGAGGCCTCCAAAACTGCACACAATACTCCTGGTGTGGCCTGACCAATGCAGTGTACAGTGGGACTATCACATCTTGTGATTTCGATGTTATGGCTCTGTTGATACACCCCAAGATCACATTAGCCTCTTTTTGTTGCTGCATCACGCTACCTGCTCTGCTCATATTTAACTTACAGTCTACTCGTACCTCAAGATCTTACTCACATACGCTATTACCCAGAAGTGTATCCCCCATTCAGTATGCGAGTTCCTCATACACCATACTATTCCACATCCCATCAGTAACAGCCTCAAGCAATTGTTTCACCAGTGATAAATTCACCAGTGGAGTTTATTTTTACCTGGAGAATTTCTTGAGCCATACTGGAGAAATATTTGCAAGATGATCTACTTTTCAGGATGGCTCCACCTAGATACTTTGTCAAAATAATCTGAGTTTCCCGATAAATGGGTCTATTTACAAGCCCCTAAACCTACTGCGTCAAGGACTCAATACATGTTACATAGAAGATCCATAATTAAGTCTTAACAATAAAGAAAAACTAACAATGCAGAATGGGGACTCCTGATTTGGATCCAAGCCGTAGCCTAAGAGGGATAAGGGTTTAATCTGCCCTCTCTGTTCCATTTCTCTTTTTTTTTAACAATATATTTATTAGGATTTTATCATATAAACCTGTGTCATACACATATATCCAAACTACTAGACTACATACAAATCTTATAAATTCATTTTTTCTTTCCGGCAATACAGAACCATCAATCAAACATCTAAGATAACATAAATAGGTGCCTTGATCTTATTTTCCACCTTAATATCCATCCTGCATCAAGTAAAGAAAGAACAAGAATTATCCATAAACTTTCCTTGAGACCAATATACTGCCTTGATCAGCCTGCCAGTTCCTATTGGCAATATAAAACATAGTCTCTTATTTTACTTCTCCTTATAAAATACTAACTTTCCTTCATCTAACTTTCCTTCATCCTTTAGTAGTCTATTAACTCTTATCTCCAGTATGAAAACAGGGTTTAACATCATAATTATCTATTTTTCATTAGTTATTACTCATTTTTAATTTATTTTATATATGTTTTTAAATATTAGCTTTTCAGTATCTTTTTATCTCCTATTCATTAATTAAACCTTACCTCCAAAACTTTATCTCACATTTAAGTACTGAGTTTACTCTCCTGTTTTTAAGTTTTTTCTAATAGCTACACCAGCCAGCATCAACTCACTCCCCACCAAGTCTTTACCCGTCTTTATATAACTCCATGTTGATTCTGTATAATAGGCCATCCTATCAGGATTACTCATGATTTTCTTGCTGCTGACCTTTCTAATACCACTATAGAACAATAGATTAATACACATCTAAATAAACATTAACCCTTTAATAATTACTTAAAGGTTTACTTCCTTAATTTACCAATTTAATACTCCACTTACACTATTAATGTATTAACAATTTTCATAAAAATCCTATTCTTACCCAATCATTACCTAGGTTGAATATTCCATCATAATGTTCAACCGAGCTCAGGACATGAATTAGTAATCGTAAAAAAGAAAAAGAAAGAAAGAAAGAAAAACCGTATAACAATTCAAATACCTTCAAGTTCATTAATCCATCTAATCACATATAAATCAAACAATTCTGCCTTTCTAAATATTTTGTTATTATTATTATTATTTTCACCTGAGCCCCCCTAAGCTAATTTTCTACTTGATTTATCAGGTTATTTCCCCCTCTACTGTTTTACTTTTATTATTAATTTATTTAAAATCTTCAACAACAAAAAAGGAAAAAAACCCCAAAACCTATTGTTATCAGAACTCACTCCTAATCAACATCTGAATTAATTATTCCATCCTATTGTTCTATTCATCTCACACATTGAGTCAACATATAAAAGACAATAACAATGTTACATACATTCGAGATCATTTGTTCCGTCTTGGCATGCACAGAGTATAAGCCATTCACTCTATCTTTCTGTATATCTTATTCTTTCTCTTAAACATCAATAGTCTGCATTTCTGCTTCAACATGTCCACGTGTCTTTGCTCTTTATGCCTTTTCTGGTTCCCGTGTTTCTCCTTGCTTTTTTTCAAGCGTTCTGTTTTCTCTCTTTTACAGTTCTCTTTCCATTTCCCAGTCCATCTTTTCCACCTTTTAATCCTTCCAGCTCCTTCTCTCTAATTTTTCAGCCGTCGCTTATTATGCTTAAATAGTCCTGTTTTAGTACATCTTGATTTTTTTTTTAAGTCTCTTTCTAGTTTTTTCGATTAACAGATATTCCTTGCTTTGTAAAAACCCCGGTTTTTCTTCCTGGAGGTCAGCACAACTTTCCCTTTGCGCAACCTCCCATGACTCCTTTCCAGTGGGTTGTTCCCCTTCCTCTGTTTTTTCAGCTCCTATCCGTATGTTGTCCAATTTTTCCGCTAACTTCAACCAAGCCTCTCTGCATTCTTTTTGGACCACCTCCCTGAAAATACTTAGAAATTGTCCAATCGTCAGTTCGCCCACCTCAGCATTCGCATCATGCTTCTGCTTAGTTCCCGTCACGTCCGCCATTTTCAACAAACTCTCCCAATCCTTTTTCTCGCATTCCCAATACAAAGTCTATAATCCTTTCCAGCAGTCAGTTTCTTTTCTAAGTCTCTTTGCCAATAGCCCCAGTTCAATAAGTTCAAAACAAAGAAACACCAGCGGCTAGAAATTTTCTTCCCCACATCAAAAGAAAATACTAACTTACGCCCTTTAATTCTCCCGGCCAATTATCGTTCTAACGCTTGGGCATTTTCATTTTGGGGATTTTCCTTCGCACTCCAAGAATAATTACTCACACTTTCTTCCTTCTCTTGTATTGCCGTTATAATACCTTCATCTGTTACATCTTCTTTTAATTAAAAAGTCCGGAAGGCTGCGGCTAGTTCGAACATGTCGGCCATGTTTTCCCCAACAGACAGTCCTGCATCAGGGCTGTTTCTGGGCACCCCCCCGCTTTGCCGAATGCGGGAGGGGCCAAAATAACGCCCCTTGCTCCAGCCCTCACACCAAGAAGGCTGGCCAAGTTCTCCCAGCAACCGGGAGACTTAGAAAAGTCCGTTAGTGGGTCGGGCGGCACGGAATGAGCCGCACTCCGCCCGTCGCCGTGCCGGTGCAGTCACCCCATTTCTCCAATAGAGGTTTTCCCCTGGAGCTGTTGTTAGTAGCAACCAGAGGTCATTTTGGGGGGGGGGGATCGCGGGAGATCGCAGTTCCCCCGGGTGAGGTACGGGGATGGGGCACATGATGAAGCCCCGCCCCCCGCTTCCGGCCACCCTGCTTCCGGACCTCATTCAGCCAGGAGGAGGCAGGAGAAGAGAGAGGGTAAGTTGCTTCCTCCCTGCCTCTCCCCACCCCTGCCTGCCTGGGACCAGGGAGGGCCTTCGCGGGGCTTCCTTGCACTCCCACCGGCCTTGCAGGTCCACCGCCGGGCCCCTCATGGGGCTCGGCAGTGGAGCTGCAAGGCCGGCGGTGGCCGGGACCGTTGGGGCGGGGTGTGTGGCCTTATGACACACTTCCGGTGACGTCAGGGGGTGTGGCATATGCTAATGAGTTCCCCTAGCTCTTTTTCTATGAAACAACCCCTGGTAGCAACAGGTATTTGCATAGTAGTGGCAGCAGCTCGTGTATATGTGTGTGTGATTGCTGTTGGAGTGAATTCTAATTTCACTTCCTCTTCCACTACACATCCAGCTGAAATCACCCCCCCCCCGGTCTTTTATTGATAAAGAAAACATTGATTGATCCAGTCACAGATCTTCCACATAATTTTCAGCCTTCAAGATGCAGGCTTGTAGAAGAAGATTGAAATGTTTAAATGAAATAAGCAAGTAAATGAACGGATCCTGCCATCTGCAGACTCTGAAGCAGGAAGCATGCTCCCTGCTGTGGCCCACCGAACCCCTGGAAATTGTGTTCTTGAGGATCAACAGACCCTTATGAATGGCATAGTGGTAAAGCGAGATTCTATAGGGGGTGGGAGGGAAGTGGTGGGAATTGCTACCTCTTGACTTGCAAACAAATACTGTTCCATCAGAGGAACTTCCTGGCTGGATACATGCCAGAGTTGTCTATGAAATTCTGTAGAGAATTCATTCTCTCTTTCATGAGACAGGGACTTCTCCATGAGAAATTCTGTCAGTCTATAGCCACATACACAAAATCCGTCCACTATATGGTACCATCATTGTTATTGCTTCTCAGTTCATTTTGCATACTGAGACAGATCTACCCAGAAGGAGTATGTCTTGTATAATTGATGAAGGCCATATGGTGATGTAAGCATCATGAACTGATCTAGGGG